ACGAAATACCGGAAATAGTGCAAGAAGTAATAAGGGAATCGTTGAAAGTATGTTTACTTTCACTGATTTCTACAATTTCGTATGCTTTTCCCCAAGCCAGTATGGCAGCCTTTTTCAAATTTTGAACCCCAAAGTGCTGGTCGCTGTGGTCAAAACTGTTTCAAAATACTCATTTTTCACTATTGCATCCAAAAATGCTTTTTTAACTATTCGTAGGTCGGAAATCTCGGCTTTTTGGGCCACTTATTCTGTTTATAAAATGCAAAAAGAGAAAGACTTGTTTCTACTTAATTGCCAAAACTCAAAAAAAATTAAGAAATTAGAAGAAATGAAAACGAAATTGTTCTGAATTTATAAAAACTGAAAACACTGAATTAAGAACTTTAGAATGCTGCACTTTTCGACTTCAAATCGACATTGATGCGTTATAATACCTACCTTTCTCGAAATGTTTCAGTCTATCGTTTTTACCCAAAACCGTTTTATTTTTCTTGAAAGTTACAGATATTTTTATGCGATCTGAACAGTAGGAATAAATCATGAGAAGTTATGAAAGAAAGCTCAACGTTTTGTAAAATTTCGCTTTCCTATAGATTTGTTCTGTGAATCCGATACGCTTTCGGTGGCAGTGGTTAACAATACGTCAGTTAGCTCGTACTATGCTACCGGTACCGAGTCTGTTGTGGATACACCAGTTAAAATCGCTACCAAAGGCACGATTGCGCTCGCCGTTGCGTCCAAATGTCAATAATTTGGCATCCGAACTAAAATCTTTGTAAGTCATAGCGAAGGAATTTTGATTCTTAAAAAGCTTTTTTACTTTTGGTTCTGTCGTCTGACATCGCTGTGCTACTGGCGAGGCTGACGTGATTGCTTCACCAGGTGGACAATCTGGTGCTCGTTGCTCGTTATGGACAGACAAACCAGGACCATTAATAGGCGATAGTGAAGTGCATGTAAAAAAGTCAGTGGTTGGGATGCCATACGTCTAGCGTTTTTGCTGCAGAAAATGAAGAAATAAACTAACAAAACTAACGGAAGAGTCAGCAGAAGATTTATTAGCACTGGTGCGATATCAGTCAGAGGAACCGCAAAGTTCCGCTGATGCGAGGTAACAGTGCGATACCCAATTAGCGTGTCAGATGTATGAAAAGAAAGTCAAATTAGAAAATACACTAGATACTGAATTTTATACGTCCAGAATATTACAATGTTTTTCAGGAGATTGAATTCACCAAATCTACCTCCTTGTCGATCGACACCGAGTAGGAGTGCTAGGAAGGCTGTGAAAGTCCCCAGTATTTCTCGCGAAATGTCTGCCGAAATAGAAGAGGCCAAAAATGACTTCGAGTATTTCTCGCATTTATTTTATGGGTTTGATTTTTTCCCATAAGTTTAATCGATTTCTGTAATATACGTTGTGAAATGTCTACGAGGAATGAGCAGAAATGATAGTGATGGTAGGCACGGGGACTTGATAGGCATGGGGAAATGATAGGCACGGGGATTTGGATGATGAATGTGATGGTAGAAATCCTTTCCGATTCCTTCCTATGCCTGGGGTATAAGGATATGATTTGAACTATGGTGATCGATGCACCAAATATAACCTAATGAAATAGAAACCTATAAAACAAATAGAAAATCAAATTTATAAAAATGCAGTAAGTTGGAAATCAGGTGAAATTTAATAAATTTGAATAAAAAGTGTATAAAACAATATGGAAATTAAAAAATATATAAAACAGTAGGAATACTTCGGTCCATTGGGTCGTGTACATTCCAAATCAGCACCACAACTGGCCAAATCAATAGAAGTGCAACAAAGAGGGCTAGTGAAGCGGTGAAAGATGTTTCTTTTATGATACCACTTTGCTTGATGAGCTCCAGTTTCTGTCCGTATTGCTGCACAATTGCTGTAGAGCTCTGCTAAAAGAGATAGGATAAAAAGGCTAATTATATATTCTTATATTTTAAAGGTGCTGAAGCTGTGTCAGAACCATTTTCTGTTCCGAAAGTTCAGTTTCACTGAGTATTTTTTTTTTTCGCCGCAGTCCGATTGAATTAACACCCTTTAAGAATTGTTTGATAACCTGAATGTACAGTATTTTACACACTTTATCGTACTTTCTGCCGAATAGTTTATCATTTTATAACTCGTATTTCTCGCATATTTTGGCAGCCTTTTTGCATTATGGCTAAGTTTTTAAATGCACTCGGAACGGATTTCCAGGATAACACAGTAGAGTTTTTGGGTATTTGGAAAAATTTACGCCCGAATTTTGTGCATGCCCGAATTGCAGGATGGACGATTCGTAGATTCGTTCGGCCTGTCGGTGTTGCTTCACATCGACAGTCCGATAAACTTTATCACCTGGATTCTTGTTAATTCAGCTGCTTCTTTTTTCAGGGAATGGCGATTTCAGACTTGCTCATATTTGGGACAAGCCTCTTACTGGCCTGGTGGATTGAAAAACAGGGAACCGGACTGGAGCACGGCATATTACTTCAATGAGGCAATGTTTATAAGTACGAGGCAGCTCGCTCGTGCCATCGTTGGAGATTCTAAGGAAAATTATGCGTACCATTTTGAAAACGTCGAAAAATTCAAAGAGGCTGTTCGTAGGTTACCAGCTGGTAATTTTTTCGCATATTTTGCACTTGGCTTGCTGAGTTTTTAGTGTAGTGTTGAATGGCGGATGCTCTCAGATTTACATCATGTTAATCCATGTGCACCCACTAGCAGATTCCTGAGGGAAAATTGCTACTGAAATGAAGCCATTTTGCTTTTAGGCGGCTTGTAGACAGCTCAAGGGCAGGGAATCACCAGCGGTTCTCCAGTGAGTGGTTTATTTTGATTCATACCGGTGCTTTCATTTTCAAAAACTGCAAATAGAGGAGTTTCTAGCTTGGCTTGATTTGCGGTTGT